TGTGTGTGTGTGTGTGTGTGTGTGTGTGTGTGTGTGTGTGTGTGTGTGTTCTTGTGTGTTCTTGTTTGTTCCACTGTACTTGTGTGCAGATTCCAGGAATCCATGTAGGATGTCTACCCCTTTCTATATACCTTAATCTCAGACATAGTGTCTCACTAACCTGGAGCTCACTGACTGGCTGAATTGCCTGCCAGCAGTTCCGGGATCAACCTGTCTTTGACCTCCAGCACATTCACCACCACACTCAGCTTGACTGGTGTCTGCGATGAAAGTCACATCCTCATGCCCTAGTAAGAATTTCTTTCTAAAAAAAAGCAAGATGTGTGAGGAATTGATTTGTACAGTGAAGGAATCACAGTTTATAATGTATAGTCATGCCTGGGAAGGGTCCAGAGTGAAGCAGTACCCAAGGAAGGCTATCACACTGGTCCAGGAAGACATCAAAATGTCTTGATTCCCACGATTCCACTGTGCTCAGCAATCTGGATCCCCAGAGAAGGCCTTTTCATCCTCCGTTCTGTCATGCCCCACCTCCACCTGCATAGCCTATAAATACAGATTTAGCCATCAATTTTACACATATGAAATGAAGGGAAGACATGAAGAACACAGCAGAAATATAATATCATTCATTTCCTAATACAGAAAAGAAACTTTTAATTAAGTTTCAGTGTAACTAGTGGGCTGAATACATGTACTTCCTGTACCCTCTCAAGATTTCAGGGACAGGAGAGAAAAGATGAGATATTCATTCCTAATAAGTAGTCTCAAGGACAGTAGGCAGAACTGACAATACACCAGACTTATGTTTCAGAAAGAAGAAAAGAAGAGGAGGAGTGTGGAGAACACGTTAGTTTAGACGTGGTCGGAGGAAATCTGGGGCGGAAGAAGGAGCCAATATTCTCGGGAAAACTCTCACTGAGCTCTGTATTCCACCTCGGCAGTATAGAGAGAAGTGAGACAGGGTCAGCAGTCAGGGTAATTAACTGAGCGGCAGCTCTGCAGGTGACCTTTTCCACTCACTGCATGGATGCTACTTGCTAGAGCAGTTATTCAAACTGCTAAAAGCAGTTTGTGTCCAGGTCAAAAAAAAAAAATAGTGTGGACTTTGATGGCACAGAACACACGTTGTCGCCTGAGTAGAACGGCCATCTTTTGCTGTGGTGGAGGTTTCTATTTGTATATACTACAGAGATGACATCTGCAGTTGGACACATCCTGCCTGTAGGACGCATTCTCAGCCTCCCAGAAAAGAGAACGCTCTTTTGAAAAACATTTATACTCAACAACAACAACAACAAAAAAAAACCCTTGCTCACTACTTCATGAGGGTAATAATCTTTACAAGTGTTTATGAACAAAACAGGCAAACCAAAAGGGGAACCATGCAACCAACAAAACACAAAGCCCAGGAAAGTATATTGTAAGCCAATGGAGTGAGAACCCAGGAAGCAGATAGGTCAGAAATTGAAAGGAACACCCAAAACTCAGCTAAAGTCAGCAGAGTAACTTAAGACATCAGTGTACCAGGCAGAAAGGACTGCATTGCATTTGTAGAAATCAAATAATTAGGACTGCTGATGTTTAAGCATGGATGAGTAGATATAATAAAACAGGAACTCTATAAGAATACAAAAACAATAAAGAGGTAGAAAACACAAGAAAAAGTCAAGGAAGCTATAGAATTAAACCAAGAATTCCAAGAACATAAAGTTAAAAATACAGTTATCATGAAACTGGTTGTGTGATATGATGGGTTACATTCTCAATGTCTTTCCAACTGAGAAACAACAAAAGTTGAATTTAAAATGTCTTAACTATCAATGAAAAAATATTCAAGCTGGAAATTTAGTGAAGGAAGAAACTCAGGGAGGTAAACCTCAACATAAGCCAGTCTTTGCTTTAGGTATATTTGTCCAGTTTCGTAAACGTGAACTTTATGGGACAGAGCAGACCAACTCAGTGTCTGCTGAATGCACAAGACCCACTGCCAGAGGTGGGAGCTCAATGCTGTCATCTCAATGTGGAGTTTTAAAAAAATTAATCATTGAGCTTGAAATTATCAAGTGTAAGATGAACATTACTGTTAGATTGATAAGGAACCAAAAGAAAAGCCAGGGAATTGAACTAAGGGCCTGAAAGGGTCAATAGTAGAGTCTGATCAGGAAATGGGCCCTGAACTGCATCCTCTGTGTATCCAAAACATTTCAAGACCCCTCATCCAAACCACCTCAACCTTTAACTACCCGCAAACCATCTCTCTCCCATCTGAGATCTGAGATGTTGATCATCTTGCTTGGAGGGAGGGCAGCATCTTGTAGGAAAACTGAGAAACAGATCCAGACATGGAGAAAACATAAGACAAAGGATACAACTAGTGAAAATCTACATTAATCTCTTGAAACATATTTAGTGAGACATCTTTAATTTATTTTTGAGATTATAATATAATTACAACATTTCCCCCTTTCCTTTTCTCCTTCCAAACGCTTCCATATATCCCTCCTCACTCTCTTTTAAGTTCATGACCTCTCTTTCCATTGTTATTACACACACATGTATATGTATACACTTATGTATTTCTAAATGTAACCTGATCAGTCCATATAAAGTTATTGTATGTATGTTTTTCGCACTGACCACTTGGTACTGGACAACCGGTTGGGAAAAGATTATCTGTCCTGCTCCCAACATTCCTCACCTGCTTGGAATTCTTTCTGTAGAGTTGAGGCCTCATGGGATTTCCCCCATCCATTTGGAGAGTGTGCTGTTGCTGTCCTTGTCCAGCTCAACAGGCAGGTGTGTCGATGAGCTTTGTGGCATAGCTTCTGACAATCCCAGGAGTCACACTCTCACAGCAAACTCTGGTTCTCAGGCTCTTGGAACTGTCTGACGCTCTTCCACAGTCTCAGGTGAGGGGCTGTTTTGTAGACAGAAATAAGGGGATTAGGTTCTACAGCTCTGCGTTTGTATTGGTTGTGGCCTTCTGCAGTGAAGGAGATGTTTCTTTTACTTCTTTGACTCAAACAAAAATCATACCAACCATTGCTGAGAGATATCCTCGCCAAAGATAACTATGTTATAGAATATATGATATGATAATATTATATAAATATGATAATAAGAATTTAGGTATCAAAATTCCATTATAAAGCCCATTGCTTTGTCTGAGAACCTAAAGAAGTAATTTAGAAAAGAATTTAGGACGTGTAGGCAGGATATGATGGTGTACAGTAACATGCCCGAGTGTTTTTGAGCTCCATATATGTGAACTGAAAAACATTAACACAAAGGCCACAGAAAATAGTATTACTTCGATAACAAAGACTCAGTCAGTCTTAACTCATTGCAGCAGGGTTGCCCTGCGTTTGATGAGGCAAATGCCAGAAGGGGTTCACTAAATGGGGGGCTGCACCATCATCCTCCTTCCCAGCAGTTCACTGGTGAGCAAAGAACTTAAACTGCACACTTCTGTTTGGTTGTTTGATTAAAATCTTTCTCTACTCCTAGCTAACCAATCTTTTATTTAAGTCTATTGGATAATTCTATGATTGACCTGTGGAATGAAGGGCTGGCTGTTTGCTATCAGTGGTTAATTTTGTAAATATGTAGCAACCAGTCATATGGAACACAAATTTTTTTGTATACATGTATATGTACATATATACACATGTGTATAAAATTTCCATATTCTATGTATATGTAAATTTAAAGCTTTATATAGGTCTATTATGTGTAGATATAATCTAATTATTAAATGCTCTATTTAAATCTTAATGTTCACTGGAATATAACTGTGACATCAGGGACTTTTGTTCATTTTGTTTTCTTACTATAACTCTGAGTACAAAGAACCTGACACATGGTAAACATCTCATAGATATCTTTTAGCTTGGCACATCAATGTTTGAAACTGATGTGTTGAAATATCCCATTAGAAGCATAACGACTCTGCCAGAAACTCTCAACAGGCTAAATATTTATGAGAGAAAGGTGTTGACAACAGCAGCAGGATTTTTAAAAGCCAAAGTCTGCTGATGAGCTCAACAAAGATTTGCTGTGTTCCACTGTCTTGCCAGGCACTGAATTTAAAGAGAGAAGGATTGGGTAGTCCCAGGGACAGCATGCACTTCCGGTCTACAGGACCATCGCCCAGGAAGCTGTGCTGTGTGCACCTCCTCCTGTTTCCTTAGGTTCTGACTGTGTTTGTAGTGTGATTCCAGAATTCAAATTTTAAACAGTCCTTAACATCAACTGCTCCTGGTATTTGGATGCATGACATTTGGGAAGGAATGAGGCTTAGTTGAGGGCAGGCCTCCAGATAATATTAGTAGCTTTATTATAAGAAGATGGTAGCCAAGCAAGGCAGCACTTGCCTTTAATCCCAACACGTGGGAGGTAGTTTATTTACGTAATAATCTAAATAATAGAATATACCATAAAAGGACTCAAAATTTGCTTTTGATTGATTTTTACATCTGATTTCTTCTAAGACGGTGGTTCTCAAGCCATGGGTCATGACCCTTTTGGGGGTCAAGCGATCCTATCACAAGGGTCATATGTCAGATATCCTACATATCAGGTATTCACATTATGATTCATAACTAGCAAAATTACAGTTATGCGGTAGCAACAACATAATTTATGGTTGGGGGGGTCACCACAACATGAGGAACTGTATTAAAGGGATGCAGACTTAGGAAGGTTGAGAATCACTTCTCTAAGAGATCATTCCAACATAGCAAAACTAAATCTGTATGTGGTTCTTTAAAATAGCACAGCTGAACATGTGGTTTTATGTGCAAAAAATAAGTTTTTCACTGTCCCTTTCTTCTGCAACTATCAGAACCCCCCTGGACTGCACGCCCTTGCACCCTTTCTGTACACCTTCCACACTCTTCACAAGATTTTTTTACAATTTTCCTCCAAATGCTCACCCCTCCAGTTTGAAGCCTAGATGTTGTGTGCGCACACACATCCCCTGACACTCTAGTTTGTTCTTATTATTCCAGCCCCACCTCTGATGTGGGAGGCCCTTCTGTATATGTGTTGTTTTTACTGGCTAATTAATAAAGCTACTTTGGCCTATAACAGAGCAGACTATAACAGGCTAGAAGAGATACAGAGAAAGAGTAGGAGAAGTTGAGGAGATGCCATGGAGCTGCCAAAGGAGGACACGCCAGACCCTTACCAGTAAGCCACAACCTCATGCCGATACACAGATTAATAGAAATAAGTTAATATAAGATGTACATTCATAAGATATATTTTAGTACTTGTCAAAGTTTTAGGATGAAAGGAAGTACTGTATTTATTTCAAGTTTAGACTCAAGATCTTAAAAAGGGAAATGGTACAAATGTCTGGCTGAAATCTCTTAATGGAAGTCACAGCCCTGTGCCTGCAATCCTCCTTCACCTAGGAAACGCCTACACATTTAATCCCATGGCCATCTCCCTACATTTCCTCTCCTTACAGATACCACTTCAGAGATCCAGTGGCCCTGAATTTTTTGAACAAATGCATTTGGCATATATTTACATGCACTCTCCCAAGTTTCTAGCCTTTTCATCAGAAAGCATTTTTTAAATTCTAAAGCATATATTACTTCGCTCAAAATAGTTTTCATTATTTACTAAAATCACCTCAAGACAATCTGAATTTTAATGGATTCTGAAATAATTTCTCAATCCTCAGCACCACAGAAGTCAAAATGATAACATTCACTTGATTTTTTTTTCCCTCCACTTGCTGTCTTAGCAATGCATATTCCCAGCTATGGCCAGAAATACCAGTTATCTCTATTGATGCACCATATTTCATCCAGTTCCAGACTGGCACAATAGAAACAAGAATAGAACATGTATGACTCTAAAGCTATAGGCATTCAGCAGTGAAAGAGAAGCACCTCTCCCAAACATAAACAGGCAAAGAAAACTCAAAGTGCCTCCTCCAAGCCCTGCCTAGCTCAGTGAGATTCTCTAACAAACTCTCTGAAACCACACACTTAGAATCCTTTCCAGATAGGAGGCAACCCTCAAATACATGAGCTTTTACTAAAGCAGTCTAATGATTTTATTATAAATTTGAGACTTCCAGAATCTAAATTTGTATATTGATCATACTCACATGCCAAAAATTATATGACATCTGTTAGGGTTACTATGGCTGTGGTGAAACACCATGGTCAAAGCAAACTGGGGAGTGGAGACGAATGCTAAAAAGAAATTCCACACTAGCTCAGAATTGAATACAAATAAAGGGTTATTTATTTAGGGGTAGACTCATAATCCTCATCTTGAACGGGGAACAGGAACCAAATCCTGCAGCCAGAAGAGAGGCCTTTACATAGGCATTTAAAGCATAAGAGAGCACGCCCAAGTGGGCAGGTAACTTAAAGGCTACTGACTGTAGGCCTACAGCAGGGGAGGACAGGGTTTATTTGGCTTACACTTCCACAGCATTGTTCACCACTGAAGAAAGTTAGGACAGAAACTCAAACAGGGCAGGAACCTAGAGGCAGGAGCTGAGACAGAGGCCGTGGAGAGGTACTTACTGGCCTGCTCTCCATAGCTTGCTCAGCCTGCTTTTTATGGTGGTTCCACTGTGTAATATCATATGAGAGCTTCTTACTCTTATCTACCTACAACTTAGTACCATGAGTCAAACTTTCAGACGTCTGTACTTCATGCCCCACACTCTGGTAATTATTCTACTTTCAACTTCTCTCAAGCAAGCAACAGGCAGCTGTGTTAGTGTGGTTCTCGTTGCTGTGATGAAACCACATCCATAGCCTGTCAGTGAAGGAAGTCAGGACAGGAACTCAGCAAGGTAAGAACCTGGAGACAGGAGCTGATGGGAAGGCCAGGGAGAGGTGCTGCTTACTGGCTTGGTCTCCAGAACTTGCTCAGATTGCTTTCTTACAGGATCAAGGACCACTAGCACGGGGTGACCTGACCCACAATGGACTGGGCCCACCTCCTACACCAATTACTAATTAAGAAAATTCCCTACAGGTTTGCCTACAGCCTGACCTTCTGGAGACATTTTTCTCAACGGAGGCTCCTTCCTCACTGATGATGCTAGCTTGTGTCAAGTTGACGTAAACTAGCCAGCACAACATCTTTGCAGACTCCCGTAAGAAAACTTCAAGTAACCTCACTAGCTTCTTCTAGAATATGTTTTTATAAAACACCCCCTTTTCTCACAGAAAGTTTCTAAATACAGTTTTAAACATTTAAAGTACAATTTAATTACACCCTCCAGTTCTCCTTCATGACACCAGTACATCACATGCTGAGGCTTTCCTCAGAGCGCATTTTCTGAGGTCTAACAAAATGGGGATGAACTACATTTGTAGAGTGGGACTTTGACCTCACAGCTCTTCCCTCCCCAGTACACAGTGTAACCGTGACTGGAAAGCTTGGAGCACTTAGACTACAGCCAAAACAAAGTTGACAGACGCATACAAGACCAACACTGAACTGAAGGCTGAGATGTTTGTTTCTTTCTCAGTCCATTTTATGGAGAGGAGCAACACGTTCGTTTCGGGGTGTGGGGATCTAAGCAGCGGTTCCTGTGAGCTTTCCTCAGCACCAGTGGAGTTATTCCTGTGCATATTTTTCACCTCAATTACCAAGGACACAAAAAAGCAATATTTGGTGTTCTTGCCATTTTCTTACCTTTCATCTGGAGTTCTCTATTATGGTTCTTAGGGAGGCTAATCTTTTCCGTTTTCCATTTATCTATTATTCCTATATAATTGCAGGCCTCCATTTCCTTTCACAAGCACAGGGTGGATCTGAGCACATTTAAATCAAAGAATGCATTCTGAGTCACAGTGGTACTTACATGACCAGACTTCTCCCTACTCTACGTTTGAAGTGTCATATTACCCCCCAGTGGTCAAGCGTAAAATAGCAACCTTTTGCTGTCCTTGGTACCATAATCTGTTGAAAGAGTGTGCTAATTTCTGCCTGAAGGGAGGTCAAAAGAGAGCCCATTAATGTAGGTGTAGCCTCCGCCTCAGTAGAAACTCCAAGTCTAAAGGGTCATGGAGAGACGCCGAGGCTCCACACCACGTGGCAATGTCAAAATCCCTAGAGAGCGGGAGAGATGAAGGTGCAGCCTCCGTTGCCATGGCACCAGAGTACTGTAGGTGCCAGAACCGGCCCTGAGATGACCTCCAAGCTCAGCAGCAGGTGTGGAGGGAAACCAGCCTGAGCCCACCAGACAAGCTGTTTGTATTTCAGAAGGCAGAGCAGAGGAATGGAGTTGTCCAAGTCCTTCAGAGCGCAGAAGTTCGTGAGTGTCCCATATACTAGGCATTGAACTACAGGTTTTGATTGACATAGCATGATGCGGTGTTTGGTTTGATCACAACTGTGCCCTGACACTTCCTTTTGACAATAAGGCATATGTGACATATTTTGGAATTTACAGGAGCCACAGTTAAGACACTGTTTCTAAAGAGAACTTGGACTTCTAAAATGTCTGAATTTTTCAAAGAATGGGGGATATTTAAAATTATACTACATTTTATACTGTGATAATAACATGAGATCTTAGAGGTAGACAAGAAAGGAAAGATTATGGTTTAATAGTGATGTATTTGTGTTCAAGTTGAGAAAGGATTGATTGTATTGTTTAATTTTTTGACAGTTTGACATAAACCTAAACATAGTTGGGAAGAAATCTCAATTGAAAATTTACTTTGGTCTGTGGACATCTATAGGTTATTTTCTTGATTATTTATTAAAATGGGAGGGTATCAGCCCACCCATCCCTGAGCAAGTGATCCTGGGCTGTATATAAAAGTAGTTGCAGGGGAAGCAGTCAGTAAACAGTGGTCTTACTTCAGTTCCTGCCTCCGGGTTCCTGTCTGGAGCTCCTGACCTGACTTCCTTCAATGATGGACTGTAACATGGGAATTATAAGATGACATGAATTCTTTCTTCCCAGTTGTTTTTAGTCATGGTGTTTTATCACAGCAGAATAATACAAACTAGAACACACAGTTAATAAAAAATACCAAATAATATAAATTAGAAATAAGCATACACACTGTAGAAGGAGACAGGAAGTGGAGAGATACACTAAGGGCCCAGACCAGACATACCTTGCAAAGATACACTTCAGCAATCTACTTCTGTAGATGGACTTTTCTTTTCCATTTGCCAGTTCAAAAATAACCAAGACAGAGATTTAAGATTAATTATAAATGCTCAGCTGTCAGCTCAGGCTTATTACTAACTAGCTCTTAAAATTTAAATTAACCCATTTCTTTTAGTCTACATTCTGCCACATGGCAATACTTATCTTTCATTTTACACCTCTTCTTTCCTCTCTGCGTCTGTCTAGCAGCTCCCCTGATTTTGCCCTTCCTTTTCCCAGTGTCCTTAGTCTGGTTCTCCCAAGTAACCTTGTCCTGTCCAGCTCTTGGCCAGTCAGGCTTTTTATTAACCCAACCACAGTGACATATATTCACACAGTGTAAAGGAATATTCCACATACTTCCTCTAACCAGCCCAGCTCCTGATAGCCCATTCAGTATGGATTCACCAGTGGATTTACCCATGCTGAAGTGGAACCCTCATGATAACCTCAGATATGGGTACCTACACAAGACCTGCACAAGATCAAAGCAGTTAAAATTCCAGCATTGGAGGTGGAGCCCCTAAGGCCTTGCACCATTGGTGGATGCTGAGAGGGGAGAGTCACTCTTCTTTGAAGACATGGCTGTGGCAGGTTGCCTGTGCATAGCCCCACATGCATGGGCAGCACTAATTAAATTCAGGGGATTATTAATAACCAAAAGAGAGAGGGATTGAAAGCACAAGGGAGACAAAGTAAGGGGCACAAAGAGCAGCTGGAAGGAGACGCTGGTAAATGGATATGACCAAAATGCACCAATGGCTAAAAATATAAATAAAAGATTATTTTAAAAACTTAAAATCTAGAAATATTTTCTATCTTATTTTACCTTTCGTAGTCTTTCACATACTATATCACCATTCTTCATCTCCAATTTTATGTTTTCCTAAAACAAAAAATGGATAAATTCACTATAGAGCAGCTAAGGATCCAGCTGGAGTTCCTTTCTCACCCTCTCCTAGCAACCAGCTCGCGAAGACATCTGAGTGTGTCTCACTGGAGTCGTTCACGCTTCGCAAGTGTGCTTTGTGCTTCTCTGAACATAGAGAGATAGGAAAACTTTCTGAGACTGTACATATATAAATATATTTCATTCTATGTGAGTTTTGTATATTTGTATATGCATGACTAAGCATACAGTCAAACATGTTTGGCAAAATATTGAAAAATATTTAGCTATAAATATGCGTGTTGTGTGCTTCCCTAGAGAGGAGCTATGTAACAGTATGTCAGTGAACAGGGGAATACGCTCATAAGGGCAGTCACATAAGATCAGACCAGTTGGAAATTTCTGTCATCTAGTGATGACATCCATCCTATCCCAAGTAGAGTATGCCCCTCCCTTGCTTGTCTTCTTTTAAATCTTTCTCTAGCAATATTTTCAAATATCCTTATGATCACAAGACCTACTCTTTCCATTATATTTCATAACTAAATAATACTAATATAAAATATCAGCTTCTTTTTTGGTTTTTCGAGACAGTGTTTCACTGTGTAGCCCTGGCTGTCCTGGAACTCACTCTGTAGACCAGGCTGTCCTGAGAAATGTATATCTAATACACTAAAGAAGTATTTATTTATTCTTACCTTATTATGATTTCTTACAATTCAAGAATATTTTAAAAGATATCTATATCTCTCAATGTGATCATATCATTTTACTTTTTCACTTATAAATATAGTGGATTGTGTTACTAGCACCCATAATACTAAACCTTTAAAAAAAATGCTGCTACAAACTCACTGCCTTTAGGTACTCTCAGTTCATTGTTCAGTTCTCACTTGCACAGATATTCACATATTAAAGGAACCTATAATTTTCTTTCTGTGTTATCTTTGTCAAAATTTACATGCTGATTTTTTTATAGGTTTTTTTATGCACTGGCATATTTATAAAGTCATCATGATGATCTGCTTCCTAGATATTTAAAAGCGTTAATTCATGAAAACATTAGCCACTAAGACTTCTTAAAGGCATAGCTTTCATAAAACCTGGGCAGATTTAGATAAATAAAATGGGCCCAGTTCTGACCAATCTCAGTTGGCTCTGACTTCCTCAATGGGAAAATCTGAGAGTCAGGCAAATGAAAGAGAAATGATGAGAAGTATATACAGTCAATAAACATAGCAAAGAACTCAGAATATCACCCAGGAGAACGGGAGTGCCAAGTTCTGGGCTTCAAGACTCTCCCGTGCAGCTGCTGAGGGCACTGTAGGAGGCAGGGCTGTCCCAGCGCTGGGGATGCCTCACTTATGCAGTCCTTCATTTGTACTGTAGCCACCTCTGTAGACAACTCCCAGTCTATCCTTGCAGCTCCTCTGTGGTAACGGTCCCTTCCTATTGATGAATGCGGGTCTACTCCACATCCATCTCCTCTGTGAGGTTCCAAGTTCTAGCCCTTCTGTTTTGCAATGCTTGTTATCATAAAAAAAAAATGCTATTGCTCTTGACATCATTTCACGTAGATATATTTTTCACAGCATGAAACAAATTTCCCCCAGTCTTTATATTACAATTTCAGATCTCTCGAGAGAACCTGAGAGATTCATTATGATGCTCAAATGACCACTTGAGTTAGTGTCCTAGAGAAAGGAGCAGGGCCCATTTAGGGTTATGGGGACAGTCAGGCTTTCAAGCAGGACCCGCAGACATCAATGAGAGGACAGTCCAACTTCTAGCTTTTGGAGGCCAGGTTACCATGTATCAAATTTCTTAGTTCCCATTTACTGTATTCTAATATTACAAAGTATCAGTGCAGTTGGTGTTTGCCATCTTCCCACTTCAACCTATTTTGCATCGTATCTGAATATGATAGGCATATTCTTCTATTACTTTAAAAACTTACCTAAGAGACACAATTTAAGTGGAAATTTACCCTCAGTGTACTATCACAGAAGATCCAGGGCTCTTCAGGGAAATGAGGACTTAGAAGGAAAATATTTTTCAAAGTCAAGACACCAAAATCACAGAGTTATTGACAACATCTGGAGCAACAACAGATGGTGACAGTAATTGTTGCTCAGTCTTCACACGTGGTTTTCACTTTCCCAAGGGTAAAACATGAAAGTAGAGGCGTGCAGGACCCACTACCTGAGCTTAGCAATATATGTGTGACTCTCTTTAAAACCCATTTAAAATATGCGATAAAAAATGAATCTCTTTTTATAAAGGGTGCAACCATTTTTGAGCAAGAAGATATCAAAAATATCACAACTTTAAAAAATCCATGTGAAACTGAGTTGCTGATTTGAATGTGAATAGGGTGTCATTTCTCTGCGTTTAGACAGCGTCAGCATTCAGTAGGTTATTCCAAGACAGAACTGCCAGTTCCTTTGCAAATCACTGAGATAAGAAGTTCTGCGGTTCTCGCCGTTCCGTTCAGGAGGAACAGAACTCCCAGGATGCTTTGGTGCATTCAGGAGATTTTTAGTAATATTTCGGGGATTGGAGGATAGCGCAAATCTCTCTGCCCAAACCAGCTGGATCGTTCTCAGAACACAGCTGAAAATCAAAAATAAAATACCATGTTCGTCTCCCACGTGAGCACAGAGCTAATTCAGAAGTGCATATAGATGCTTAGGCAACATTTGGCTGTGTTGTTTTGACAACTGGGCATGAAGTTTGATCCACTGCATTCCTTTCCCCAAGAATACAAGAATATGTAATTATGGAGGTTGTAGAGGAAGAGAGGAAGTGTGTGTGTGTGTGTGTGTGTGTGTGTGTGTGTGTGTGTGTAGGAGGGAAGCATACATGAGCCTGTATAAATGGGATCAGAACGTGTAGTTGGAGGCTGTAAAGGACCGTACTCATCTCCAAAACAAAGAAAGTAAAGGAAGTAGGGAGATAGCAGAGCGTAGCTGGCTCACCCCTCCAACTCCCTTACTTACTGTACCTTAACTGCATTCTTCCCTTTGAGTCCGTGGGATAACTTGTGCCACGTCACATCTTTTGCTTTAAGTCAACACAAGCTAAATTATGTCTCTTGACTGAGCTGAGCTTGTCACAGTTTTTAGAATCTGTAAACCACAATATGCCAGAGAGCATTTTCAAATAAGACTTCCAATGAGGGCTGTCTTGGTTTAATTAAGAGTCAAAGTAGACTTCAAAAAAATTACCATTGTAGAATATTAGTAACCGAGCCCCCCCCCCCCCAAGTGGGTTGACAGCGGGGCAGACTGAGGGGCCACTAATAGTGACACTGGGATGTATCTCTACTTGCATATACCGGCTTCATGGGACCCTATTCTCTTTGGATGTAAACCTTGCTCAACCTAGACATAATAAGGAGGGCCTTGGACTTTCCACAGGGCAGGGAGGGTACATGGCACTCCCTTAGGGGTGGAGGGGTAGGGAGAGAGTCTGTGGAGGGAGAGGGACGGGATTGGGAGGAAGGGAGGAAGTAGGAATTTGGATTGGTATTTTTTTAAGTAATAAAAAAGAAAAAATAAGATAAGATACTATATAATTAAAACAAAAAAGTGTGTTCCATTTGTTTATGCTATAGAATATTCATTTAATGATGCAAAAATGTGTTGCATTCTTTTATATTGTATTTGTTTAACTCAGTGAGACTGTATTACTTTGCCTGTCTAAAACACCTGATTGGTGTAATAAAGAGCTGAACAGCCAATAGCAAGGAAGGAGAAAGGATAGGTGAGGCAGGAAGGTAGAGAGAATAAATAGGAGGAGAAATCTGGGAAGAAAAGATCAAAGATCAAGAAAAGAAAGGGCCAGGCATCCAACCACACAGCCAGACACAGAGTAAAAAGGAAAGAAAAGATATACAGAAATAGAGAAAAGCCCAGAAGCAAAAGGTAGACAGGATGACTTAAGAAAAACTGATAAGAAACAAGTCAAGCTAAACCCAGATATTCATAAGGCAGAAGAAGACTGTGTGATTATTTGGATGAGGGGCTCTCCTAAAGAGCCACAGGAAAAAAAACAAAAAACAGAGTATCTTGCATTACATTGGATATGTTGGGAATTTGGCTGCTCTTTTCAGGGCTGAAATCTATCATCAGTGAACTAAGAGCATGAAAATCAGTCTAAAGACATAAAAATCAACACCCAGTAGAACAAAGTTGATCAATACATGCTCCATGAATCTTGCTTGTCAGTTGCTGAAACTGAGAAGTGTCTGGGAAATTAGTAAGGCATCTGTCCAGTTTACATGCCTGTAAAGAGGTTCCAGGGATGATCAACCAATGAGGAAAGACCAGTCTCAGCACCATCCCCCAACCTGAGGATTACTGATGACCTAAAACAGAAAAAGAAAAGAAATCTAAACAAGACACTTCCTCTTCTCCCCCTCCTCCCTCTTCCCTTGCTGTCATGGTGGGAGATGATCTGCCACCACACCCTTCTCATCACGACAAACTAAAATCCCCTAAAGCATGCACAAAGATAAATAAGTCCTTCCTTAAGGTGTCACATCAGATATGTTGTCACAGCAACACAAAGTTGAAGGTATATGTCAAAAAATCATGTATAAAAAAATAAGTATGGGGTTAGGAAAGACACCTCAGCAGCTCAGAGCACTTACTGCTTTGCAAGAGGATCTGAGTTTGGACCCCAGCAGTCATGTCAGATAGCTTACAACAGTCTACACCTCCAACTCCAGAGGATTTGATGCCCTCTTCTGCCCTCTGCAGACACTCACTCATGCAGGACATAATACACACACATTCATAAACCAAAATTAAAAAGTTGGTATGTTTCTTAGTTGTGGTTTCTGTTGTTGTGAGGAAATGCTATGACTAATACTGTAAAGGAAAGCATTTAACTGTGCCTGGCTTACAGCTTCAGAGGTTTAGTCTATTAGCACCATGGAGGGAAGCGTGGCTGAGTACGGGCGGACACAGTGCTGCAGAAGGAGCTAAGAGTTCTACAT